CTCCATTCGGACTGTTCCCTGGTGGTTCATTGCCTGAACCATGGGGGGGTCGACGCGGTCCTTGGCTCTTTGGGGCTGGTCGCTTCGGGTGACTTGGCATGCCAGCCAGCTTGCCTGCCGAGTTCTTGGGGTTTGGCTCTCCTGGGGGTTCACATTTGGGGGGTGTCTAGTGTCCTGGTGGACAGCATGTCCCGGTTCATTTCCCTGTCCATGGAATTGACGGTTGACGCCGACTTTTCCGTTGGCTCTGCTGGACATTTGGGCCTCAGGAAGTGCATCGGCGTGGTCGAGGCGTCTCCCGGTATACGTGGCACCCTTCTCTGACTGTGAGGCCATCGGGTAGTAGTATAAAGTACGCCAGATCAAAGTCGTTTTGCTTTTTTCGACGGCTTCGATCTGGCGTACCCAAATTTTGTTACCCCAGTGACGAAAAATCAGAGAGCACTGTATAAACATCAGAGGTCCGCGGTTGTTCAACGTCCTCCCAGCGACTATAAGAAATATTGCCGGAACAACCGTGGACATCTTCAAGAGAAAACTGGACGGTTTTCTAAGAGAAGTTCCAGATCAGCCGGGCTGTTGTGGGTACGTGGCCCTGCGGGCCGCTCCAAGCAACAGCCTGGTGGACCAAACTCTCACAAGTCGAGCCTGGCCTCAGGCCGGGCTTGGGGAGTAGAAGAACTCCCAGAACCCCATCAACCAGGTATCAACCAGGGTCGATGCCTTCAGGCAGTACTGGGCGAGGTGGGGATGCCTGCACAGGGGTACCTCAGTTTACGACTTTAATTAGTTTCTGGAAAGGGTTTGTAAACCGAAGCTATTTTTCCCATAAGAAATAATGGGAAATGAATTAATCCGTTCCTGACTCCCTAAAAACTTCACTTCAATGTAAATTTTATACCTAATTAACCCAAATCTTCACTACAAAGGTGTGTTCAAATTATTACTTACCTTTGCTGATGACTCCTGTTGGCATATGGAAGATGGTGAGGAAGGGGGAGGAGATGTGTTACCGTTTGGAAGGGAAGTCCCCCTGCCATTATAACATCATGTAGTGAGGACTTTTCTGGTGTGCACTCTCTGGCACGTTTTACCTGCATACCACTAGGTCCTGGTTGTGATTCACTGCTTGCTTGTCTTAACACTATCGCGCGCCGGGCATGTGCGCCGCCAACTTAGAGGTCACACCCTCGGCGTGCAATCAAGCGTGCGGGGAAGCGCGCAGCGACACTGAAATGTGTATACTTGTTTCAGTTTTCTCACCTTAATTCTCGTGCTACGTCGTTCGTTTTGGTATCATTATGTTTGCAATAGAATTCCCTACAGGTGTATATGCATATAATGTCTAAAAGTCTGGCATGACTCCCAGCACAGCAAAGCCTAAAGTCGGCAAAATTTACCCATGAGCGCACAAAATTAGTAAAATGTGTTTACTCGTTTCAGTTTTCTCACCTTAACCCTTAAACTGCGCAACGCGCCTGCAGGCTCACGTCTGGTTTGCGCAACGCGCCTCCGGGTATTTGTATTTTTCACGTTCCATTCAAAACTCCCGCGGCTACATGGGGTTCACATCAGCTTCCTCAGGGCTCTTGTAAACAGACGCCATCTTTAAAAAAAATCGTGGTCCACATTCCCGGGTGTGGGGGCCTCAGTAGTGTGTGAGCAACCAAGGCTGGCGCTCGCAGCATGAGCGCACAGCACTGCTGTTCAGCATGTGACCACAGCATCGCCTAATAATGTCAAAATATATATATAACTTGTATTATTTAGCTATGATAGTGTTATATTAGAGCCTGAGTGTGATAATGACTGGGTACAATGTTCAAATATCAGTAATTCAATGCTGTTCACGATGTTCACAGCGCTAGCCACAGCACCACAGCATTATTTCGTTCATCTAGGAATCTTCAAATGATTTCTTAGGTTCCTTTTCAAAATAAACGTGTGGTCAATTATTCATTTACAGGAATTAGTGACCAGGATTGTGATAATAGCAGGAATGTGGTTATAATTAGCGTTGTGCGTAGTATTGTGGAAGGAGGAATTTTGATGAGGGAGGGAGGGCGAGAATTGAGGTAGCCTCATTGTGTGTGTGGCTGCCACACACACAATGTTTTGCTCACCATACTAGCTTAGTGGTTCGCTATGGGCAACACATATGTACATGGGTATATATAGTGTGTGTATATAGTGTAAGAACAGCAACAGAAGAATGTTGAGAGGAGCTATTTTGGTGAGGGAGGTGACGTAATCGTAGCGTCGTCTGCTGTGTGATTTTTCATGGTGTATGGTGGCCACTGTACTGTTTGGACACAATACCGGCTTACTTGCATAGTTCTGGTAAATAAAACATGTAGATAGGTATATAGAACATGTGTAATAAGAACTATAACAATATGGTGGGAGGAGCAATGTTGGCGAGTAAGATGTTGGAGTGAGGGAGACAGGCTGGGTGTGGCTGCTCTCACTCGAGGTGTTCTGAATGTGTTCATGGCCAAATGCTCCTATTGGCCCATACGAGGCAGCTGCTATTGGCCCATACGAGGCAGCTGCTATTGGCCCATACGAGGCAGCTGCTATTGGCCCATACGAGGCAGCTGCTATTGGCCCATACGAGGCAGCTGCTGTTGCCCATACGAGGCAGCTGCTGTTGGCCCATACGAGGCAGCTGCTGTTGGCCCATACGAGGCAGCTGCTATTGGCCCATACGAGACAGCTGCTATTGGCCCATACGAGGCAGCTGCTATTGGCCCATACGAGGTAGCTGCTATTAGCCCATACGAGGCAGCTGCTATTGGCCCATACGAGGCAGCTGCTATTGGCCCATACGAGGCAGCTGCTATTGGCCCATACGAAGCAGCTGCTACACGGTGTTCTGAATGTGTTGATAGTGAATGTATATAGTGCGTGACAGTGTATAGTGTGTAAATAGATTGTATATATACACAAATTAGCATGATACATAGTAAATATGTGCTGCATATGTGTACACAAGTTTCATGCACGTAACACAGTGTCTACGGACAGTACGGATGTTGTACTGCGATATTATAGTGTACGTGTTCATTATACATTGGATTGGCACATAAAAACAATGAAAATGTATTTGGAAAGGTGCGCAAAAAATGAACGAAAATATATTCGCGGCAACTCACGCGCCCCGCCCCGAGCGCCCCACCGCCCCCGAGAGCTTACGGCACGAGCGCACGGGGAATGATGACGTCACGCCCCAACTTCCGGACCCCATAGCAGCCAAAGTAAGTACAATTTCGACTTTTTTTTTACATACCCATACTGAGGGAAGGGTTTTTGATACTTTAAAAAGAAAAAAGAATTTTTTCCAGAGAATTTATTTCCTGCGCACTGCGGGGGTGTCACATTTGGAGGCAACGCAGTTAAGGGGTTAATTCTCGTGCTATGTCGTTCTTTTGGTATCATTGTGTTCGCAATTAAATTCCCTGCAGGTGTATATGCATATACAGTAATGTACACAAGCCCGGCGTGATTCCTGCAGGAAAGCCTAAAGTTAGCCGTAAACGAGCACCAATTGGCACACCGCAACCTAATGTGTATACAGAGCACCATTTGGTTTCCGAACCCCTTGGGGACGAGACCCGTCGGTTATCGTGTAAGTTCGTAAACGAGAAATGGAGGAAAATGGAGAGACTAAAATTAAAAAATCTAAGGGAAAAAATCAACAGGTTCATAGCATGAATGCGACAATATTTTGTTTGCACTCGCCAATTAGAGAAGTCCTGATCCACATTTCCCACAGGAGTGGCAGGACCAAAGAGCAAGAGCTCAACCCTGCAAGGACAACTAAATGAGTACAACTATGTGAGTACACCCTCACTGCTGCTGCCCTCCCTCCCCCCAAAGTGGCTAACTTAGGTGATTGCCAGAGAATCTCCATCTAATACAATAAAGCATTCATGAAATAAGTATTTTTATAACTTTATATTATCCTAATAATATTACTAAACAAAACCTGTAACCAAAAATTTATATGATGTATATTTAAGAAACAAATCTGGCTAACGGGTTGAGGGTGGTTAGGCTTACCAGAGTCAGCCGGTCCCTCCACTGACACACCTCCCCCCCCTCCCCCCAAACACACTCTAAAGGTCACGTGACTCACCTCGGCACCCATCCCATAATGTATAAAAGCTGCCTCAAGGAAGGCAGGCAGGCAGGCAGGCAGGCAGGCAGGCAGGCAGGCAGGCAGGCAGGCTGGCAGGCAGGCAGGCAGGCAGGCTGGCAGGCTGGCTGGCAGAGAGGGAGGGAATATCCATTCCTGCCTGCCAGCCAGCTACCCCGGGAAGGGAGGGGGGGGGGGTTGCGCAGCACAGCGACATGATAATACCATGCTTGTTTGCTAATTTTCATTTGCGGCGTTCTGTCCACTCGTTCTGCTTTCGGTAGCAATAGTTTAACCAGAATAGGGGTTGGTTTTGGGGCGCCAATCTCAGGGTGCCAGATCCGGTCAATGGCAGACATAAAATGCTCCCAACCACACGGGGGTTTCTATAGAGCATTGCTCCTTGTGCCTCTCATGAAGGGGCCAGGTTCTGGCTCATGGTCCCTGGTAGGCAAGAACTCTATGCATATTGACTGATGTCAGAGAGTTATACATATCCATTCTGCCTGGATAGCTCCGGGGAGCCTCCGGGACTCGCCCAGAAAAGTGTTTCATTACATTCAACGTTGGGTTTTTGTTGTAATAACTTGCCGATTTCTAGTGGGACATACTAAAGAGAGAGAGAAATTACCAAAAGTACAATTGGTAATAAAATGATGCTAATGATTTAAACAAAATTGACACAATGCGTGATAACAGAAAAAAATGGTTTGCGGAGGATATTTACCTATTTTTACATGGTGCTCAATGTGTTAAATTACCTTACTATTATTGCAGTCAATTTTAATTACAAATTGTAAATTCAAGAAGATCCATTAGATGTTATTTTAAACAAAGATCTGATTTTGCATGTCTTTTCTAGGTATACCTGGCAGATGAAGAGAAATCACCCCGTTGTTTACACCAGTGGAACCCACATGATGGGAAACCTCTCTCTGCCCTCTTCTTTCTTGACAACCATAAGCACCACACCCCAGAGTAAGATACGCACTTGTTGTATGTCATGTTCTGACTGGACATTGGTAATTAGAGGCATGGATTATTTATTTAACAAATGAGGTTGAGTATGTTAACAAAAAAGTGATTGTAAATGTAATATTTTTGGGAGTAAATACCATTTTCCAATATTTTATGTCAAATGCCGAGATACATTTCAGACTCAAAATTGTTTACTCTCTGGTATCTCTTGAAAGGATTAAAATATCAAAACTTGATGTACTTTGCAAGGGGCATGAGAAAACTCGGTACTCGGGCTGCATGCGCCTAGGGTTCCCTTCCCTGGGAGCCTTGTAAGTACTGCCCTTGGAGCTTGGGGTTACCGTCCACAAGTTCCTCGGGGTCTGCCTCTGTGTGTCCGTTTTACTGATCACTTTCTCGGCCGCTCTTTGGGTACTTGGGGGTTTTGTCTACCCTAGTTAACCTTAGGGTAAGAGCCAGTTTTCGCACTGGTAGGGGCGCAGGGTGCTGTGCATCTAGTTGTCACCTATCACAGCAGCCGGCTCTGTTCCTTGGGGTACGTTGTCCTTTGCGGGGTTTTATTTTTGTTTTTGCCTTGGTGGGGGGTTCTGCCCTATTTGCCGCTGGTGTTTGGCCTCACCCTGATACTTGGTGGTGCCCCCTGCTTGATCCCAGTGAGTGTACACGTCCCTGGGGTTCAGCTTTAGACAGTTTGTTTGGTAGTTATGGGCGCCAGTTAGCAGTACCCTGTCTGGGTTTACCTGAGCACGATTCCTCTTCAAGTAAACGCTCAGGACCCTGGGAATCCCCTAGGGGACGCGTGGGTCTGATGGACGTCACCCCGGGGTCCCCCCTCACTTCGTGCGAGTTTGAGGGTTGTTTGGTTCCTTGTCTCAGGGCTACCCTCACTGTTTCTGCCTCCGTCATGCAGCCTGTTGGGTCGGTGACACTTTCGACCCAGAGTCCTCTGAGTATTGTTGCTTGCTGGTAACTCAATTTACCCAGAATATGGATGATGATGATCTTCGGGTACAGGCTGCACAGGCGTTGCATTCTAGGTTTCGGTTGTTGCAATGCGCTAAGGTTAGTTGTTCACCCGGATGTCCTGCGGCTGCCCCTTTTGCTTATTGGGACCCGGACTTGGGGGTGGGGGTTGCTTCGACTGGTTCAGTCCGCACCTACTGGTCCTTCCTCTCCTGTTGTTCGTTCTGGATCCCCTCCCCTGCTTCCGGCCCCGAAACGTCTTGAGTGTTTTGGAGTCGGGGCAGGGGTTAGTTGGTCTCGAGACTCGGGCAGCCTCGAGGAATGCCCCTTCCAGTGTGGCGACAGAGGCGTTCGAGTCTCCTCCCCTGGCCGAAGCCTCTGGGTCTGACCAGTGGGCCCTCATTCTATCCGGCTTCTACGGCTGAGCCGGCCTTGTAATTATCTAAGTGTAATTACCTAAGTGTAGTTACAGGATGAGAGCTACGCTCGTGGTGTCCCGTCTTCCCAGCACTCTTTGTCATATAACTCTTTGAAACTACTGACGGTCTTGGCCTCCACCACCTTCTCCCCTAACTTGTTCCAACCGTCTACCACTCTGTTTGCGAAAGTGAATTTTCTTATATTTCTTCGGCATCTGTGTTTAGCTAGTTTATATCTATGACCTCTTGTTCTTAAAGTTCCAGGTCTCAGGAAATCTTCCCTATCGATTTTATCAATTCCTGTTACTATTTTGTATGTAGTGATCATATCACCTCTTTTTCTTCAGTCTTCTAGTTTTGGCATATTTAATGCCTCTAACCTCTCCTCGTAGCTCTTGCCCTTCAGTTCTGGGAGCCACTTAGTAGCGTGTTTGCACCTTTTCCCACTCACCGTATGAGTGAGAGAGAGATAGAGTGAGTGAGTGAGTCGAAGAGGTATGTCACATCCAGTACCTTCCTCCCTTGTAAAAAGAGTGATCACGTCCTCTTGGTCATTATGTTTTGCGATATAATCTAGTAGACAATGGGGACATTGAAACAGTTGTTAAACTCGATTTCAAGAGAGGACACTATGGGGAACTTAGAAATATTTGTCATGGGTATAATTGGACAGACTTGTTGCTAGGTAAGGAAGTAAATGAGATGTATGCCATATTTTGCAAAATATACGATGAAGGCACACAAACATTCATACCAAAACTGACATGCAGACCTAGGAAACAGGGTTGGTTCAACAAATTGCGAGAAGGCCAGAGATCAAAAGAGACAAGCATGGAATCATTTTAGAAAGAGGCCAAACCCCCAAACATACCATCGAGCCGGGACAGGGGGAGCCTCGTCGGCTCCCCGGAGCTTTCCCAGGCTGATATGCTAATGTCAGACTTTGGCATCAGTCATGTGTATGGAGTTCTTAGGCCTACCGGGGATCACGGCCAGAACCGGGCCCCCTCAGAGCGGCAAGGGGAGCAATGGCCTATAGAAATCCCCGTGTGGTTGGAAGCATTCTCTGTCTGCCATCGACCGGAACACGCACCCAGAAAGGCAAGCTCCTCAAAACAAACCCCTATTCTGGTTAAAATTGCTACCAAAAGCCGAACTAGTGGATAGAACTCCCCAACTGAAAATAAGCAAACTAGTGTGACATCACACGTTGCTGCGCTGCTGACTGGGCAGCTTTCCCCTCTCTGGGAGGGGGAAGGGGGAGCCCCAGACCCTTCATGCCGGCTACCTACACCTCAGTTCTTGAGGCTGATGCTATAGGCGAAGGTCGTGTGCTCTGGTTTTAGTGTCGCTATAACACTGTGCTTCGCGTGTGGTGTTTGTTTTTGTTTGTGCGAGAGCCAGGAGTTATCTTCAGTACTCGGGCTGCATGCGCCTAGGGCTGCCTTCCCTAGGTGGCCTGTAAGTACTGCCCTTGGGGCTTGGGGCCACCTTCCACAGGCTCCTCGGGATCTGCCTCTGCTGGTCCGTTTTACCTTTCCGGTTCTTTGGTCGCCTGTTGGGCTCTTGGGTGTTCTGTTCTCCCTTGTTACCTGCAGGTAAGAGGCAGTTTGCACTGGGAGGGGCGCAGAGTGCTGCACAGCTTTGTATTCCCGACATAGCGGCCGGCTCTGTTCCTTTGGGTTCACTGTCCTCTTGCGGGGGTTTTGTTTTTCTTTTTGTTTTTGCCTGGTGGGGGGTTCTGCCCTATTATTCCTCTGGTGATCGCCCTTCCACGGTTCTCCTCGGTGGCGCCCCCTGCTAGATCCCCATGACTGTACACGACCCTGGGTTACAGCTATAGAAGTTTGCTTGGTAGTTTTGGGCGCTGGTTAGCAGCACCCTGCCTGGGACTACCTGGGCGTGAGTCCTCTTAAAGTAAATGCTCAGGACCCTGGGAATCCCCTAGGGGGCGCGTGGGTCCGATGGATATGACCCCAGAGACCCCGCACGCTGTGCGAGTTTGAGGGTTGCTCGGTCCCCTTGTCTCAGGGTGACCATCATTGGTTTTGCCTCTGCCACACTGCCTGTTGGGTCAGTGATACATTCGACCCTGAGTCCTGTGAGTGTTGCTGCTTGCTTGATTTACCCAATCCTCTGATGATTCTATTCTGGTACAGGCGGCGCGTGCGTTGCAAGCTAGGTTTCGTCTGTTGCAATGCGCTCAGTTGGTTGCTCACCTGGATGCCCCGGGACTGCCCCGCTTTGCTTTTCGTGACCCGGACTTGGGGATGGGGGTCGCTTCGATCCTGGTTCAGTCCGCACCTCCTTGTCCTTTCCCTACTGTTCGTTCTGGTCCTTCCCCTACTGTTCATTCTGGTCCCCCCCCCCCCTGCTTCCGGCCCCGAAACATCTGAGGGTTTCGGAGCAGGGGTTACATGATCTCGAGACTCGGGCAGCTTCGGGGGATGCCCCTTCCGGGGGGGGGGGCCAGAGGCATTCGAGTCTTGTCTCCCGGCCGAAGCTTCTGGGTCTGACCAGTGGGCCCCCTTTCTTCCGGCTTCTACGGCTGCTCCATCCTTGTCTTTTGGGGTCGAAGCTTGGGGAGAGGACTCGGCCTCGGGTGCTGTGGTGAAGGACCTTGAGGCTAGGAAGGGGCTGACTTGACCCCTTGGGCCCCGCTGGACTGTGGATGAATCGGGACATGCCAATAAGCGTCCCGGAGGTCCAGGGACACTATCCAAGTGCCCAGTTCCAAGAGGAGCCGAACCTGAGACAACGTAGTCATCCAAAAGGAGGGGCAATGAACCCCACGGGTTCAGACGGGACAAGTCCAGAATGAACCGCAGAAACGGGACTGGAAACCGACGGGAAACCCACCTGAGGGATGACGTCGTTTTGACGATGCCCAAGTGAACCCACTCCAAGATGACCTGACAGAGTGCAGGGGAAGAAACCTGCCCTGCCAGCCCCGACCGACGGGAAACCCGTCCAGCGGGTCCAGCGGGGACCCTTGGGCCCCGCTGGACCACGCCTGGGTTTTTCTTCCCTCTGAGCGGGGCTTATTGTTACAAGGTGTGGGGTTTTCTTTTCCCCCCTCTGCGTACGAGTTAGATTGTGTGTCGACCCCTCCCCGGGTTCGGTTCCATGTTCCCCGGGTACGTCTGTTCCGTCTTTCCGGAGGTTTCGGCTTATAGCATCCAACCTGGTGTGGTGCAGGCTTAACTCCTGCGTGACCCAGATTATGCCTCGGAAATGGATCCGGCCGAGTTCAGGTTTGGTACTTTGTTCCCTTTCTGGCTCCATTACGAGGTTCCGGAGTCTTCCTGGCTAGCGGACTGCCCCTTGTTTGTTCTGGATTCCTGGCATTCCTTCTGTCGTTCTCGCACGCTGGAGTGGCGGGAAACTTCCACGGTGCTTCAGGTTTTCCTGGGGGGCGAGCTTGAGTACCTGAATGAGTGCTTGTTTGCCCCTGCCCTTCCCCACGATGTGGGTGTTGTTCAGCTCCATGTGCAGGTTCCCACCCTTTCGGCGGCACTCATAGCGGAGGACTTGCGCGCCCAAGGCCTTTTGGCTTCGGCCTTGCGGTTCTTTTCCCTCCTGGAGCTGTCCTCAGATTGGCTCGTGGAGGATGTGAGG